ACCGACAAAAAGGGCGAAGGATTTTGGGCCAAGTCTGGCAGGGAGCGCCAAACAAGCGTCAGGAGGGCCGAGGAGCCCCAGGGTGCGTTTGGAGCCGTTTTGGGACCGTCTTCGGGCCGTCTTAGGCCGTCTTTGGCTGCTGTTGGTGCTGTCTTCTGTGCTTCTTGGGCCGTCATCTTGGGGTCTCTGGGGGTCGTTTAGGAGCCTCTCGGCTTCTCTTTTCGGCCTCCTGGCAGCCTCCTGGCGCCCTGTCTCGGGTGCCTTTTGGGCCATGTTGAGGCCGTTCGGGGCCGCCTGTGGATTGTCTGGGGCCGTCATGGGCGTCTCTGGAACAGTTTGGAGACCGTCTGGGGGTCGTCTTGGGCCGTTCTGGGTCGCTCTTGAGGCTGTCTTGGGTGCCCCGTGGGCCGCCAGGGGCGCCTCAGGAGCCGTCCTGGGGCCATCTTGGGGACCCTGTATGGCCGTCTTGGACGCTGTGAAGAGGGCAAGCCCAGGAACTGCCAAAATATACAACTGCCCGAGGGATATGGGGCGATTTTTCGGTGTTCGGGCTCTCTTGGCGCTCGTGGAGCCCACTTGAAGCGTTTTGGAAGCCTCCTGGGCCGTCTGGAGGCTGTCTGAAGCGTTGTCGAGCGCTCTGGGCGCGTCTCGGAGACCCTCTTGGACTGGCTTCGGCCGTCTGGCGGCCATCTTGGGGGCCTCCTGGTGCGTCTCGGAACGCTCTTGGACCAGTCCGCTGCCACCGCTCTCCCCATCCGCGAGTGCCGGGGCAGTCATTGTATAAGAGATGGCGTTGGGCTCCAGCTTCGCCTTCCACATCTCGCTCAGCAGCGCCAGCGCCCGCTGCCACTGCTCGCCCTTCTCGCACGCGCTGATCCCAGCGCTATAGCTGATGACGTTGGGCTCCAGCTTCGCCTCCCCCATCTCGCTCAGCAGCGCCAGCGCAGGCTGCCACTGCTCGGCCTTCTCGCACGCACTGATCCCAGCGCTGTAGCTGACTAGGGCGAACCCGCGGACTTCGTCCACGTCATCTTGGGCCAGTCTTGGCTCGAAAAGAGTCTTGGGCCTGTCTTCGCTCGAAATGGCGAGAATAATTTCGTTTGCCGCCGCTCGTCTGGAGCGTCTTCGAGCGGTCTTGGGCCGTCTCGGAGGCCCTCTTGGACCGCTTCTTTCTCTTCGTACGCCTTCCGCTCTACCTCCGCCTAGACAGCCTTCGGAGCGGCACAGACGGCTACGGTGGGTCTGCGGTGTACGTCTCGCCGTTTCAATTTTGAAAGCACCTGGGGCCTTGAAAAAAGTCACCCGGAGGGCTCTGGTGACGTTTTTCCAGTTGCCTCTTCGAAGCCTGATGGCGGGCGCGGCTGTCTCCTTGGGAACGGTTAGTGGGCCTCTCGGGGTTTCTTTTCGAGCTCCTGGGGGCCTGTTGGGGCCTCGTTGGCTGTCCTGCGGCCTCCTAGGGGCCTCTTGGGGACCTCTTGGGCCGTCTTGCGGCCTCCTGGGGGCCTTGTCTCTTGAATTTTTTTGGGGCGCCTCTGGGGCCGTTCCCGGGCTGTCCCCCCGAGCCTCTTCCAGGGGACAGCCCAGGAAATCTGTTGTGCTGGCGTGCTGTGCGTGCGTGCTCCTGTGTGAGAGGTCGGAAGGGCGTCCCGACGTCACCGCTCTCTTGGGAGATGCTGCGTCTCGCCTGGGAGCCTTGGTGAGAAGAGCTTTGTACTTCACCGATCGCTCTTTTAGTGGGCGTCTCTGGGCCTGCTTGGTTGTCCTTGTGGAGTCTTTTTCGAGCCATTCTGACGTTTTTTGGGGCTGCTCTGGGAGCGTGTTGGAACGTTTTGGGGCCTTTTTGGGCCGTCACGGGGCGTCCGGGAGGCCTTGGACCGTCTTAGAGCTCTCTTGAGGCTGCCTGAGGCCGTCTTGGGAGCCTCTTGGGGCCCCCTCGGAGCTCTCTTGGGGCCGTCTTGGGGTTCTGTGAGGCCGTTTCAAGGTTCTCTGGCGTCGTCTTGGAGCTCTTGTGGGCCGTCTTGGAGCCCTCTTAGGGGCCGTTGGCGTCTTCTTGGGGCGATTTGGGAGGCCTCTGGGCGTGTCCTGAGGCCGTCTTGGAGCGCTCTTGGACAGTCTGGGAACCCTCTGGAGCGCCTCTGGGACCGGCCTGAGCGACTCGGCCCCGTGGTGGCGTGAAGGGGCGATTTTGTGCACACGAGGCCCTGTGAACCCTTCTCGCACGCAGATCCATTGGCCATGTAGGAGAGACTAGTGGCGTATCCTGTAGAGCGCTTGGGTCTCTCTTCGGAGGCTCTTGAAGGGTCCTTATGGGGCTCTTTTGGGCCGTCTGAATGCTCTCTTGGGCTATCCTGGGGCCTTCTTGGGCGGTCTGACAGGGCTCGGCCCGTCTAGGGGCCCCCTGGGAGCCTTCTTGGGCTCTCTTGGGTGCCTCCTGTGGCCCACTCGGGGCTATCTTGGGAGCCTCTTGGGGCGCTCTCGGGTCCCTCTTGGGCCCGTCGTCTGGGGGCTCTCCGGGGCCGTCTTGGGGCTCTCTTGGCCCGTGCTGGAGTTCTCTTGGGGGCATCTTAGGCCGTGTTGGGGCGGTCTTGGGGGGTCGCTTCGGCCATCTGGAACCGCTGCGCGATCGGGGCGCAGCGGCGGCCCCGCCGGCCGCCCAGAGCGGCCCGGGGCCCCGGAGGCCTGCCCGGAACGGCCCGAGGGGGGGGGGCCAGTCCGCTGCCACCGATTCGGACAGCCGCGAGCGGTGGTCTGGGCGTTGTGGGAGAGATGACGTCGGGCTCCAGCTTCGCCTCCCGCATCTCGCTCAGCAGCGCCAGCGCCCGCTGCCACTGCTCGCCCTTCTCGCACGCGCTGATGCCAGCGCTATAGCTGATGACGTTGGGCTCCAGCTTCGCCTCCCCCATCTCGCTCAGCAGCGCCAGCGCCCGCTGCCACTGCTCGCCCTTCTCGCACGCGCTGATCCCAGCATTGTAGCTGATGGCGTTGGGCTCCAGCTTCGCCTCCCATATCTCACTGAACACTGACAACGCGTGTTGCCATTGCTGGCCTTTTCTGCATGCGCTGACGGTCGCAACATAGTGGCTTGGGACGAGTTGCACACCCAATCGAATTCCTTCGCGAAGCAACCGCAGTGCGGCGCTCCATTGTTTTGTCAGGCCGCAGTTCTTGATCGACGCTTCGAGGGACATAACGACTTCTTGAGAATATCCAGAACGCCATGGCACCGGGGCTTGTGCCAAAATGGCTTGAGCCAAAATGGCTAGAGCCAAAATGGCTACGGACCAGCCAGTGTCGAACAGATCCGCCACCACGCCTCCTGGCGCGTGGCGGCGTGGTGGAATGCCAAGTGAGCGCCGATCAAAACGGGTCTTACGCGAGATGGCACAGCGACCTCACGCCGCGGCTTGCGCGGGCCACCAGCGCGGCACGCCACATTGAAGACGAGGGCGCTTACGCGCGACCTTATGCGGGCAGCTTGCGCGCCAATGTCGGCGTAGACGATCCCGTTTCTTGCGTCGCTCTAGAGCTGTGGCGGTGTGACTGTTTGGTTTTCTGATGAGGGACCTCCCACTCCTCTAGCCGCGCCCCCTCCAGTGCACCGCCTACCTCTCGCAAGGCCACGATCACTGATAAAAAAACGGTGGGTCCGCGCTCCCGAGGCCACGAGCCCTGGTAAACAAACGATGTGTTCGTGTCCGAGCTTCCAAGACAGCCCATATAGGCAACCAAGGACACCACGATGGCCGAAGATGACTCGAATATGGTTCAAGATGGCCCTAAGGCAGCTGGGTGTGGCCTCCAGACGGCCCGAGGTGCCTCCAAGAGGGCGAAACAGAGCCATAAGAGGACCTCCAACATGGTTCGGAGAGGCCCAAAACACTGCTTTCCATATGTTTGTTTGACAGATGTTCGCAATCTCACATGTTCTGGCTTCCGTCAGCTTACGGCAGCCCAAGGAACCTCCACGATGGCCCCAAGACTCTCTCCATGCACTGGGCAGCATTGCGCAGCAGGCGGGCCTTGGACTGCGGGAGGCGGGTCCTCTGCCTGAGGCGCGAGCCCGTCTGCTACTGCCTTGAGCTGCGCCGTCGGCCCAGCAATGCCCATGGTGGCCAAGGACTGGGCGATGTCCCTCAGGGCGTCAGCCACCTGCCTGGACTCGCCCGCAGCCTCGGAGGCGTTGGTCTTGTGCCAGGTGGCGTGCTTCTTGGGCCTCGTGATCTTGCCGCCACAGGCGCAAGTCCCGCCCCAAGCTTCCCAGTCCTTGTCGCGGCACCACTGGCTGCAGTTCTTGCGCGGAGTCCAGGGCCATGTAGTCGGCTGGGAAGAGCTTGGACGCCGCCCTTTGCCCGTGCTCTTGTCCGTTCCCGAGCGGTGGGAACTCAGCAGCTGGCACGCGGTCTTCACGATGGTCTGCGCCTCGTGCCTCTTGGCCCCCTCCCTGCGGTGCCAGGCGGGCTCGGCGCGGCGCTTCGCCGTTGCGGCGGCGGCCATTACTGCAGGCCGCCAGCTGAGGCCGACCGTGAGGCAAGACGGCGATTGCCCCCCTGAACGGTTCAGGCCTGAGCAGGAGGAGGAGGAGGCGGAGGAGGAGGAGGAGGAGGAGAGGAGTGGAGAGGAGTGGAGAGGAGGAGGAGGAGGAGGAGGAGGAGGAAAGGGTGGAGGAGTGAGAGGAGGGGGAGGGGAGGAGAGGAGGAGGAGGAGGGGGACAGGAGGAGGAAGGAGGAAGAGGAGGAAGAGGAAGAGGAGAGGAGAGGAGGAGGAGGAGGAGGAGGAGGAGGAGGAGAAGAGGAGAGAGGAGGAGGAGGAGCAGCAGGAGGAGCAGCAGGAGGAGCAGCAGGAGGATGATGAGGACGGGAGGGCCTGTCTGTCTGTCTGCCTGTCTGTCTGTCTGTCTGTCTGTCTGTCTGTCGTCCGCCTCCTCCTCCTCCTCCTTCTCCTCCTCCTCCTCCTCCTCCTCCTCACATTTTGTTTGCTTCGCAGCGAGGGGGGGGAAGGGCCTGTCTGTGGTGGGCCCTTGCCTCGCGGTCCGCCGCCCGCTCCGCCATCTGTTCCTGCGCGGGCGCGGGCGGTGGCGCCAGGCGGAGGTCCGCTCCCTTGTCGGGGGGCTGGGCAGGGTAGGGGCAGGAGGAGGGGAGGGGAGGGGAGGGGAGGGCCCTCCTCCTCCCCTCCTCCAATTCCCTCGCAACTCCTCCTCCCCCTCCTCCCCCCTACCCCTAGTCCTCCTTTTCCTCCTCCCACCCCTCGTTCTCTCATTCCTCGACCTTGTGCTGGCCAGATTCTGACCGGCGAAGATCGCAGCATCAGCCTCTTTCTCCTCCTCCTCCTCCTCCTCGTCCTCCTCCTCCTTTTCCGCCTTTTCCCCCTCCGCCTGCCCCCCCCCCTTTGCTTCTCCCCCCCATCCCTTGCTCCGCCTTTGCTTCTCTCCCCATCTCATCCCCCCCCCCTCCTTTGCTTCCCCCCCCCTCCCCTCCCCCCTTTCACCAGAGAGTAAAGAGACCAGCGCGACGGCTGCCCCCCCCCAACTCACACACACCAACAGCACACACACACACACACACACGCAAACCACACACGCACACACGCACAACCGCACACACAAACGCACACAAACACACACACACACACCACACAGACACACACACACACACACAACACACACACACACACACACACACCACACGGCGCGCAGAGCGCGCGCGCGCGCCGACGGGCGGCCCCCCCCCCCACCACACACACACACACGCGCGCGCACGCACGCACGCACGCACGCACGCACGCACGCACGCACGCACGCACGCACGCACGCACGCACGCACGCACGCACGCACAACACACACACACAAACACACACAACACACAAAACACACACACACACACATCACAAACAACACACAACACACACACACACGCACACGCACACGCACACGCACACAAACAAAATCAAACGTTGCTCCGACTCGCCTAATTACCTGGGAAGACGCCATACGGGCCTGCAGCCGGGCACGCCACGCTCAGGTCTAGGCCGAGGAGGCAGCAACTTCCCCCGTGAAGGCAGGGAGAGCAGAGAGGGGGCCCTGACACCCTCGCGCCGCGAACAACAAAAATCAAGACGGACGGTGTTGGACAACTTCTGGCCCGATCGGACCCGGCAAAGACTGCAGCGCCCTGGCTCCTGCTGCCGAGGAGACTCCTCCCCCTCCGGAGGACCCCCGGAAACCTCCCAGGGGCGACTGCGGCCAGGAACCTGTAGTCTTGAGTTTGGCGCTTGACTTCGCGCCATTTCGATCCAAACTGGGCATCGTAAGGCCCTACTGTTAGGTCGGGCATGTCCTCCTGAAGGCATTTTGTATAAAAAGAAATGGTCAAAGCAAACTCAGACATTGCCAACAACATCAGAAACATCGTCCCCATAATATCTTTACAATGTTTGAAGATTCCTCCTGTCCGACGCAACCCTACTGCCAGAGCGCGCATTACACGTCGGTCGGAAGAAGTAGATAAAAGCATGAAGTAGGAAGGCAGATATAGTGCATTGGGTCCAGGCCCTCCCAGATAATGACAACACACAGCAGCAGCATGCCGATGCTTGAAGCAGAAAGGCGCTCGCAGTGGATTGGGATCTGGGAATCCAGAGGTACCTGATTTCAACGACCGGCGTGTATGCAACGCGTAAGCCGCTGCCGTCGCACCGCACGCAGCGATCGGCGAGCCGCGCACCAAAGGTCATCCCTGCCTCGGGGCACTCCTCCTCCTCCTCCTCCTCCGCCTCCTCCTCCTCCTCCTCCGCCTCCGCCTCCTCCTCTTTCTCCTCCGCCTCCTCCTCCTCTTCCTCCGCCTCCTCCTCCTCTTCCTCCTCCTCCGCCTCCTCCTCCTCCTCCTCCTCCTCCTGCTCCTCCTCCCCCTCCTCCTCCTCCCCCGCGGCGAACAGAACCTCTCCTCTGGCTCCCTGCCCCCCTCGGTCACCCCGCACTCGGCCTGCGCCGCGTGGGCGCCCTGCGCGGGCAGGCGCGGCCACGGGCCGCGATGGGGCGGGAGACGATCGCCGAGGAGCGCCGACGACCGCCGCAGGAAGGAGGCAGAGGGGGGAGGAGGAGGAGGTAGGAGGGGAGGAGGAGGAGGAGGAGGAGGAGGAGGGAGGAGGAGGAGGAGGAGGGGAGGAGGAGGGGAGGAGGAGGAGGAGGAGGAGGAGGAGGAGGAGGGGAGGAGGAGGCGAGGAGGAGGAGAGGAGGAGGATGAGGGGGAGAGGAGGAGGAGGAGGAGGAGGAGGAGGAGGAGGAAGGAGGTGGAGGAGGAGGAGGAGTTGGAGGAGGAGGAGGAGGAGGAGGGAGGCGGGAGGGGAGGATGAGGAGGAGGAGGAGGAGGGGGGAGGAGGAGGGGGGGGAGGAGGAGGAGGGGGGGGAGGAGGAGGTAGGAGGAGGAGGAGGAGGAGGAGGCGGTCGAGAGGAGGAGGAAGGCGGAGGAGGAGCGAGGAGGAGGAGGGAGAGGAGAGGAGGCGGAGGAGGAGGAGGAGGAGAGGATTGGAGGAGGAGGAGGAGGAGGAGGAGGAGGAGGAGGGAGGAGAGGAGAGGAGGCGGAGGGGGGGAGGAGGAGAGGAGGAGGAGGAGGAGGCAGGAGGAGGAGGAGGAGGAGGGAGGAGAGGAGGAGGAGGAGGAGGAGGAGGAGGAGGAGGTGGAAGGAGGAGGAGGGGGAGGAGGAGGAGGAGAGGAGGAGGGAGGAGGAGGAGGAGGAGGAGGGAGGAGGAGGTGGAGGAGGAGGAGGAGGAGGAGCGGGGGAGGAGGGAGGAGGAGGAGGAGGAGGAGGGGGGGGAGGAGGAGGTGGGAGAAGGAGGAGGAGAGGAGGGGGAGGAGGTGGTGGGGAGGAGGAGGAGGAGGAGGAGGAGGAGGAGGAGGGGAGGAGGAGGAGGAGGAGGAGGAGGAGGAGGAAGGAGGAGGAGAGGAGGAGGAGGAGGAGGGAGGTGGAGGAGGAGGGGAGTAGGAGGAGGAGGAGGAGGAGGAGGAGGAGGAGGAGGAGGAGACGAGCCGAAGAGAGGACTGAGGTGGGCGATGCTGTTTATGGCAACGCGGCCACGCGCTCCACAAGCTGGTTGGGAAATCCCACCCAGCCAGCCCCTCCAGACGCCCAGGTCTGTAGATCCTGACCAGCCCTTCCAGTACTCGGAGCGGCCTTCAAGCCGCCCCGAGGGCCTCCAAAAAGGAAAGCAGTAGCTGGGGTCGGTGGGCACCGCGCTCGAACATTCCAAGGCTGCGAGACCAAAATGGCTAGCCCATTGCTCCCAGCTCCAACCTAACCTATAGTTCAATCAGCACAGACTAAACAACTTCCGTCGTGAGCGCGTGCGTACCGAAAGTAGAGGAGGAAGAGACGAAGCGATGCCGTCTAGAGCAACGCGGCCACGCGTTCCGCAGACTGGATTCGGGGATCTGCTGACCCGGGTCAATCCAGACCCCGATCAGCCAGGCAATTGCAGGATCCTGCAAGATCCTTGCAGGGTCCTCAAGGACCCTGCACCCAAGCCCGGGCCAGTGCGATCCTGGCCCTGCAAGATCTGGCGCTCTGGCTGTAACCCCGCTTGCACCGACCCCCGCCAGAAGGCCCCTGATGGATGGGGGCGGCACGTCGCCCCCAGCCGGTCCCTCCAGACACCCAGGTCTGCCGATCCTGGGCAGTCCAGGCGACCTCCAAGCCGCTGGGCTGAGGTCGGGCATGTCCTCCTACGGGCGGATTTTGGGCGAAGAATGAGAAATCGTGGAATCATGCCCCAAAGTAGCCAAAAGCAGTAGACAAATCGTCCCAATACTATGTTTTTTTACAACTTTTGAATATCCGGACGTCGAGACCAGGCGAGTGCGGCCAGTGCCGCCCCACAGGACTTCCAACCCAGAGATCCGACGTTGCAGAAGCACTGCAGCATCGTAACAAACCACTGCACGGAGCCCCGGACCGCGGCGTCTTCCGAGCCGGATCGATCTGTGAGGGTCCCATGGGCCGCCCGAAAACCGGGCGAACACGCCCGGTGTGCAAAAATGGCAACGCCAGGGCCTCGGGGCCCACAGGGCTTCCCACCTCGAGGGGTGCAGGCAGGAGCGCCCGGCACCCCAGCGGCCCCTCGGCCCCCCTGCTTGGTGCGGGCCCGCGGTGCCCGCACGACGAGCGAGGCCCGCTCGGGCCCCGCGCCGCCGGTGTGTGGGCCCCTGCCGCGGCAGCGGCCCCCACACCGCGCGCAGCGAGGGGCAGCCGCGCAGCGCGCCGCGCGCCAGGGCGGGAACCCCATCTCCAGGCTGGCCTCCCCCGAGAGGCCGAGAGGGGCGCCCACGCCGTGGGCGCCCCTCGACTCCACCTCCTCCGGCGCCGAGGGGCGCCGCCCCGGCGCGCTCGCCTCTCGCCTCCACGCCTCGTGCGGCGCGGCGCGGAGCGTCCGACGCCGGAAAGAGACGGGCCCCGTGCGCCAGGAAAGGCGGGCGGCACTGGCCGCAGAGCCGCCCCAGACCTCCTCGCGTCGTGAAAAAAATCACGACGGGTGGTTTTTGGCTATTTTCGGCCTCTGGGGGCCCTTCCCGGGCTTCGGGACCGTCAAAAAACGACTCAGGATGAAGAACCAGTCCTGGGGCAAGGGTCCAAGGGTCGACGTCGTGAAAAAATCACGACGTCGGAGGTCTGGGGCGAGAGGCGCGGGCCCCCTCCCCAGGCCTCCGCCTGCTCCTGATCATCTTCGTCCGTGCGTGGGCCCCGTGTGTTTGGACCACTCCCCCAGGACCGGGCCTTTCGGCCTGGGTCGCTCTCCTTGAGCATGCAGGGACCGACCGTCCCGGCATTCCTAGTAGGTCCTACCACGCAAGGTTCTTAGAAGCCCAAAATGTTCTGATAATAAAAACAATGTTCTTAGAACATAAGCCTCATGCGTTCAAACAATACAGTCCCAGCAAGAAACGCTCCAAGAACCTCCCGTGGGAACCACAACAGGTTCTCAGAACAGTGTTTCGTATGGCTATAGGCACGCCGGGACGCTTCGCCACTATACTTGAAGTCTTCGACGCGCCCGAGGCCCGGCGAG